GGCGGGGTGGCCGGGACGGGAAGGCGAGCGCGGTCGCGCAGCCTGGAACTCGATCCCCCGGCACCACGGCCCGGCAACGGCCAGCCGCGTTAGAAACATGGCGTCAGGTGGCGGGGCTGGGAGGGGTTGGGGGTCCGAGCTGGAGGGACAAGTACGTTCCAGCCAGCCCCGTGTCATTGTGAGTGGAACTCGACGGGTACTTCATTCTAATTGCAAGCGTACGCCAACTTATTATTTGTTTTTTCTTGATTTCTTATTTCTTCTAATTTTTCTTGACTTTTTTCTGATTTTTTAAAATTAAATTTTCCTTTATTTTTTCTGGTTTGACTCTCATACTATCCTGGGTGGGGGCCCATATGTCCAAGTCTCTACCGGGGGTGCAAGTCCTGGGCCCCGTGGTGGGTATAATCTATCGGGTATCAACAGTTTCAAGTCACCAAGTGATGTTCGGGTCATGTTCCATGTTCTCTTGGGAGTCAAACTAACAACAGTATCTATCTGCTGAAGGGATCCTACAAAAAAAATGTGAAAACGACCCTGTAGATAGGACATTGTTGTTCGGACGCGTCGAAGTTTTATTTCCTGATTTTTTGAGGGTGTACACTGAGTGAAGTGCCCCTTGGGGAAAATCATGGTGACAGCGTCGCGGCGTCGAGCAGTATGGCGGTGTTGCTCGCGGGTTGGATGGAGGCAACCGGTGACGTCGCCAAAACAACAAACGAAAGTAGTATGGCGCGGGTATTTGAACCTGGCTCCGCGAGGCGCCGGGCGCTGCTGGTATCATAACGTAGCGGCCCGATGGCGGGGGGCGGGGTGGGGCGGCCGTAGCGGCGCGCTGTGCTCGGAAAACGAAAGTGCTCCAGCAGCCGAGGTAGACGGCGCGAGTGAGTGGGGGCATTGAGGCTGTTTCCCCCACCTCCTCTGGTCTCGATCGCCCCTCCCCTCTCCCCTCTCTCACATATGTGTAGCAGTCGAGCCGGCTCCGGCTGAACCGGTTCTGCGGGCGCGCGGCGGTTAGGCCGACCCGCCCGACGCGCACGCGGCCGTGTTGCCTACTGTGCGGGGGCCCGGTCGGATCCCCACGCGCGACCCTAACCTCGGCACCGCCAGTCTCGCCCCTTTGGTAACAGACGGACAGCCCTCTGGCACGCCGTTGGCAGCCCTCTGGCACGCCGCTGGCAGCCCGTTGGCAGCCCGTTGGCAGCCCGTTGGCAGGCCGTCGACAGCCCGTCGCCATCCCGTTGACGGGCTGTTGACAGCCCGCTGCCGTCTTCACGGGTGGTGCCAGACCTTGCCCCGCGGTTTGCCGGCTGAGCGGCTCTGCGTTTAGTGCGGGTGATTAAGTCGACCCGGGGCTGCAACTGTGTTCTTGCCACACACACCAACC